CCCACGTTACCCCCCATCCCACCCCCACTCATACCCTCACCTCCCTGTTGTCTGTCCATTGGTTATGCCTATATGCATGCATATAAGTCCTTTGGTTGATCTCTCCCCCTTACCCCCACCCTCCCCTATCTTCTCTCTGAGGTTTGACAGTCTGATTGATGCTTCTCTGTCTCTGGATCTGTTTTTGTTCATTAGTTTATGTTGTTCATACAAATGAGTGAGATCATGATATTTATCTTTCTCTGACTGGCTTATTTCACTTAGCATAATGCTCTCCAGGTCCATCCATGCTGTTGCAAATGGTAAGAACTCCTTTTTTATTGCAGCGTAGTATCCATTATGTAGATGTACCACAGTTTTTTAATCCACTCATCTATTGATGGGCACTTAGGCTGTTTCCAAATCTTAGCTATAGTGAATTGTGCTGCTATGAATATAGGGGTGCATATATCCTTTCTAATTGGTGTTTCTAGTTTCTTCGGGATATATTCCTAGAAGTGGGAACACTGGGTCAAATGGGAGTTCCATTTTTAGTTTTTTGAGGAAACTCCATACTGTTCACAGTGGCTGCACCAGTCTGCATTCCCACCAGCAGTGCACGAGGGTTCCTTTTTCTCCACATCCTCGCCAGCACTTGTCGTTTGTAAAATATTTTTTTTTTAAAGCAGCTATGACTTACAAGAGCGGAAAAGGGATTTTTTTTTTATCATTGCTCAAGGATATGTTTTTATTTATTTGAGAGAAAGAGAAACATTGATCTCTTGCCTCCTATTTGCGCCCTGACCAGGAATCAAACCCACAATCTTTGGTGTATGGGACAATGCTCCAACCAACAGCCATCTGGCCAGGGCAGAAAAGAAGCTTTTTAAAGATCTTTTTATCTTTATCTTTACTTACACTTTGTCAATATAAATTTGGGCCCAGCCCGGGGCAAGGCCTTTTTGCTCAGAAAGCTGCAGGCCCGCAGGGAGTGAACATGAAGGAATCGTCAGGCCTGGAGGAACCTCTGACCCAAGGGCTTCATGTTTTGTTAAATCTTTTTATTTTGGTAAAATCCACCTGAGAAAACCATTACCCATTGTCAATACACAATTCAGTGGCCTTTGCACCTTCACGGTGTTATTTCCATTACCCACAGGGAAGCCCTGTACCCAGGTGTGTGCACACATGTGAGTGCTCAGGTGAGCTGTGTATGAGCACCTTTGCCTGGCCAGCCCTGTGCCTACCTCTGCTCCCTCCTGTGGCTGTTCCCTGGCCCTCCCGCCCACACCAACCTCCCTCACCTGCAGTGTAGACCCTTGCAGTGAGGGGGCGTTCATCAGGACCTCAGACGTGCACAGCAGAACAGCACGCAGGTTCACAGAGCATTATAATGGGAAGTCTTGGACCACCTGGATTTCAGCGTGTTGATCAGTCACACTAGATGTGCAGTCCATAAAGTCAGTGTGGAGCATCTGTGTTGGAAGGGACGACAGCATGCTGCAGTTAGGGGACAAAAGCAGGCTGTGACGTGGGCCCCACAAAACATTGGTCACATTTGAGTCCCTGTATGCGTGTCTATGCTCAGAAGGCCTGATGGCCCCAGGCTGGAGGCCTGACTTTGCAGGTTCTCTGTTCTTCTCTATTTCCTAATGTTTATACAGTGAACCTGTTGTGGCCACCAAGAGGGTGATCAACTCAGGTGGCTGTGCCTGTGCCCTGATTTTGTAGCTTCTAAAGTTATTTTCATGAAGCAAAGATGACCCTGAGGTAGGGTCATTTCTCAAAGGCGTGAGTGGCTGAGGTCACTATGTCTCTGGGTCAGTCTGGAGAACCCCACCACCTGCAGACTTAGGGTGCCCTGGGGTAGTGCATTCCCCACCCCTCAAGCCTGGCCTCCTTCAGTGTCACACGGGAACTGTTTGGGGGCCTGCCAGCCTTCGGGACAGCAAGTGTTGAGGTCATCTGCCCCTAGAGTAACAGTAGTGCGGCACCCTGCACCATCCATGGTCTGTACATGTGTGTGTCGGGAAAAGCATGTTCTGTGTACGAGGCAGGACAGCGTTAATCTTTAGTTAGCAGGAAGCGCTTTCAAGAACTGTGAAGGCCACACTGACCAACAGCTTGTGAGGTGAATCCACTGAGACGTCGCCGTCCAGGAACTGGGCTTCCTCAGTCAGTCCTTTTGGAATTGTAGGTGCCTTAGACTGACCGCCCTCCCTGAGGGGTGCCGTGCCCTGGTTGTCAGTTACCGTGATCATGGCTCTGATGTCTCCACAATCTGTGGCCTCCGTGTGCCGTTGGCTAGATTCTCAAGGGTCAGAGACCCAGTCCAGCAGCCCAGCTGTCTACCCTGTGTCTCTGGTAGTGCCTTGGTCTGGCACCCGATGGGACCCTGGCAACAAGGGCCTGGCCTGGGCAGCACCATGGACAGCGGTGCCCAGCAGCCAGAGTGGCTATCTGGTCAGCTGTGGGTGTCTGGGCTCTAACCTCGCTTGGACATGGCTTCTAGGTGGAGGTCAGTGTAGCCGAGCTGTGGGCCTGCCCACAGGTGGTACTGGTGTCCAGGAGCTTTGGGAGACAGCCACCCACCCCACAGTGGCCTGGTGACAAGGCCTCCGGACCCCTCATTCCCTGGGGCCTCTGAGGCTGGTGATCCCAGGAGAGCTTCTCAGGCCCTGTCTCCTGCTCACCTGTGGTCTGCAGAGGTTTCCAGGGCAAGTGTCCCTGTCATCCCCAGGGTGCTTTGTTCCTGTGCTGTTTCTTAGGATGACACTGCTGCAGTGTGAGAAAGTGAAATTCCAGCTGAGTGGGGGTAGTGGGGAGGGCATGAGCCAGGTGTCTGGGCAGAGTGGACTGATCACAACCAGAGGTCCACCTCAGCACCAGCCCTGCGGGCCCATCTCCCACGCCCATGAGTGGTGTGTACGATGTGTGTGTGCATGTGTGTTTGGTGTGTGGTTTTATGTGGTATATGTGTGTGGGTGTGGTGTGTGTGGTGTTGTGGGTGTGGTGTAGGTTGCATGTGTTCACATGCAGCGGCAGTATCAAAGCCATGTGTCAGGTAGGGTGGAAGGAGAGCATTTTCCTCGCTCTCACGGGGGCCTGACCAGTTTGGCTGCATGGCAGTGGTGGGAAGTGGGCTCAGTGAGGAGTGAGGAGCCTGCCGCGTCTGCTGTTGCTGGTTGGGTGTGGGAACCTGACCTGGCCGCTGCCTTCTGTCACTGGGGCATGCGGCTCCGCGGCGCTATCCCAGCCCTGCGGTCCTCACCTCACTCCTCTCAAGCAGTGTGGAGGAATGGGCCTGTGCCATTGGCAGACGAGACAGCACTACGGTTTCTAGGCAGAGTAGAGCTGAATCTCAGTAGGAAGTGGTATTTCCAGAAATGCCTTGAAGTTGGATAGATGGGTGGCTGGAGGTGGAGGCTCTGATTCCTTCAATGCAGGGGAAGGGACTGTCCCCAGACAGGCACTTTGTCCACACAAGGAGACAGTGGGGGTGCTCTCGGGAAGCCCACTTGAATTGTGCCCTTTTCACCCAGAAGGAAGCAGGAAGTACCACATTTGTTGACAGCCAGGTGTTTGGTCCCAGGTTTTTTTAACTGATCTGATCTCCCAAGAGATAAGAGTTTGAACTAGAAACATTTTCCCTTTTGCACATATTTCAAACTGGGTGAAAAGAACACTTGGTTTTTATTCATGGAGATGAGCGCAGCCCCTGCTGAGAGCGGAGGGGTGAGAGGAGGGTGTGCAGCACCTTAGGGTGGGGTGGCATCCAGCCCCCCTGTTTCTGAAGAACCGTTTAGATCCCAAAGCCCAGCAAAGCGCCTGGGAGAGCTCCGCACAGCACCCGGAAAGTGTCGGGCTTCAGCCACCGCCTGCAGATCATCTGTGTCCTAGGAAACCGGGGTACGTGCATGGCTCGCACTCATCATTTTGGCATATGTCATCTTGCTGGCACCCTGCCTTCCGACCAAGCGTGTCTGCTGACAGTTGCACAGACTCATAGCTCTGTCATCAGGCGTTGTTTCGACTTGATTTTATTGTAGATTTGATTCAGACATAATTGTAGATTCATTTGCTCACCACTGTGGGTAATTTTCAGATGTGATGGCGTGAACATTTTCGGTGTTCTTTGAGTCTCACATTTCAAGATCTTTCAGTTTGCTCCCACACTGTAGTGATAGTTTGGTTTCATCTATTTTAGGTTTAAAAGACTATCAGAACTTGAAGAATTGCTCTGTTTTAAATTCTACAAAATCTGCCCAGCCAAGGTGGCTCAGTGGTTGAGCATCGATCGACCTATGAACCAGGAGGTCATAGTTCGATTCCCGGTCAGGGTACATG